CCCCTCCTTCCCCCCCCCCAGTAAGAATGAAAAGCCAATTTTTGTTCAGTAGTTCTTTCTTAATGGAGTATGTAGTGGGTTTTTTGTTGAATTTCAATATTAAATTGCTGGTTAAGGCTTAATACATCTTGAAAATTACTGAAAATATGAACACTTGAACATAATGGGGCTCCTTGTTGTAGTGTAGCTACTCAATGAAATAAGTGCAGAAATTCAAGTTTAAATTAGTTGGTCCACAAGCAGTATGTTTAAACGCTTTTTTGCAGTAGTAACAGTAAATGATGATAAAGCTGAGTAAAATTTATTGTTACATCATGACCACAAAGCCAAAATACAGTTTGATTGTACAGGCTTAAGGTGGACCTGGGGTTAGCCTTTCTTGTTCTGAGATCACAAGTGTTTTCTTTTTAGGCGTGGATTCTCGGATAGTGGAGGAGGACCCCCAGCCAAACAGAGGGATCTTGAAGGGGCAGCCAGTAGGTGGGTGCAAAAACTGATGCAGAGAACTTGCTTTATCAGAATGAGAATTTATAACAGTAAATTTAAAATGCTGAGATTCAATAACTGTTAACAACTGATGACTTTCACTGTCTTCAGAGATTACGTATTCAAGACGGAAATATATTTGGATGATAGCGATTGGCTGGTGTGAAATCTTTCCCCCCCCCCCCCATATCTTACAGCAATGTGAAGATTATAGCAATAATAAAAAGATACAGCAATACAAAGATTCTTGGAATTTTCTGTTTTACTTGGTGTACAGTCTGCTATATTATATTCTGCTTAGTAGCCCAGATTTGTTTTACAGTAGACACAAATTCAATTATGACTGAGATTGCCCATTCAATAAATTGAATGCGTCCAGTGTGACAATAGACTCAGATTTTGAGCTTTCACATCTGGATGCAGATCTGTGAGATGTGACTGATTATAGTGAGCTTCATTCTATGGGCACTTACGTACAATGGTAGTTCTTGACTAAAGCAAGGCTTGCTTTTGAATTTTTGAGTTAATGCAAAATGAATACTGTGAAACAGCGTTACCAGTAGTAAAGTGCTGTGCCACAAAGCTGAGGGTGAAAGCTGAAAATAACTTTTATTTAACACAGTGCCTAGTTTTTCTTTGTTCAAGCATCAGTTCATCGCAGTTCTCAGGTCCTAAGTGCTCTGCCCCTCCTCACCTATTTTCTAGGTATTTGGCTAGGTAATTTAAATAGCATTTCCCATTTGAAAAATCATACCAACATTTATATCTTGATGCATTTAAACCTGTCTCGTGATCCCCTTATGCCAGTAGCCATTTTAGAGATTCTGGAAAAAGAAAAGTGCAAGCATTAAAAACAAGAAATAAATTCCAAAGGTATTCTAAAAAGTCAAATGTGATAGTAATGTGGGCTCTTCTGTTTTACTTTACTGTGCAAGTTGTATTAAAACTTAAACTGTTTTATCTCACTGATTTTTACCAACAGTAGATTCTGTCTGTAAAAAGCTACTTACTGGTCATTGGAACAGTGGGGAGATTTTTACTGGAAGTGTTGGTTCTTCTGACTAGATATGCTGACTTGTATTTTTCTCGTGTTAGAACAGATGCTGTCCTAAATATATGTTCTCTAGTGACCACTAATGCTTTTTCTTCCTCAGGCTGGGTGGAGAACGTCGGACAAGAAGAGAATCACGCCAAGAAAGCGACGCAGAGGATGATGATATTAAAAAGGTAATACATGATAAATGGAGCTGTGCAGGAAGAAACTTACTTATCTGGAACATGAACAAAGTAGTTTGGTTTTTTGTTGTAGCCAGCGTTGCCATCTTCTGTTGTTGCTACCTCCAAAGAGCGAACGCGTCGAGACCTTATACAAGATCAAAATATGGATGAGAAAGGAAAACAAAGGTATGCAGAAATCTCTTTTAAGCACTAACGTGGTACTTCTGAGTAGTAGCTTTAGATTTAAGAAGTATTATACAGATGTTATTATGTATCAAAGATGATGTTGAAAAGGTACCATAATGGTATAAAATTGATTTTAAAAAATACTCTCCCAAAATACTTCACAGCAGTAACAACACGTCGTTCACATCGCGTAACTGACAAGGGTTCTACTTCTCAGGCCACCTACAGGAATAGGTTTGCTAGTGCTATTGTAACTGATGGTCTTTGAGTAAGATAGAAATATATATAGCTTCATGGGTTACTTAACGTTTTGGACTGTTACAGCTGTCTTGGTACGTCATTTATTTTGTTGGTTGAAGGAGGCTTTTGGG